ACACACACACACACACACACACACACACACACACTGTCTCTCTCAGACTGTTCTTCGGGAGACACCACGCTGTTAACACCGTCATCTTCTGTGCTCTGGACCCACAGGATAGGAAGTGAGTCCATTCTGCTCCATCACTTGCTTCATATCATTTACACTCAGCTGGTGTTTCTGTGAGTCTCATATTTCTTTTTCATTGTGTCTCTGTTCATTCACAGATGGAAACAAGATGGCTGCTCCTCGGCAAAGTGAGTGCACTTGTTTTCATGTGATTGTGAACTGAAGCTCAGGGACTTTATTTATCTGGCTAATCAGAGGAAGAGTTAACCCTGCTGCTGCTCGCGTGCTGCTTTTTTACTTCAGTGAAATGAATGTACTATATTTTAGAACAGGATTTTAACAGTTTAAATAAAATTTAGGATTTTATGGTATTAAATTATATTTACAGAATAGTTATAATCTGCACATTACCACTTTTTCAGCATAGAACTCAAAATGAAATGTCCATCTTAAACTGACTTAAGTTTGATCTTTTTTTTAAAGAATACATTTGGCAAATTATTGCAGCAATTAAATAGTTAAGTTTAAGTTTATTGTTATGAAAAATGCACAAAAATACTGTTTTCAAATCTTATATGAAAAATATATTTTCCAAAACATGTTTTACTCTAAAACTGTGAGAAAAACAAAGCCATAAATCTAAATACGTTGTGTTCCAAATTTGAGGTTGATATCAGAAAAAATTGAGCTTTCAGTAAGATTTAGTTTGGGCACAGTACTATAAATTCACTCTCCATTTGTTTCCAATACGGTCATTTTTAACCAATGCAACCATTTTTTTTTTCCAACACCATTTAATCTTTTCGAATCATGCTCATGAATTTTTGCATTTACACAGCAAGTGCCAAAACCTTTACCGGGCTTTGTACCATTCTGATGAACTAAAATAATAAAATAAAATAAAAAATTAGGGCTGTCAGTTTAACGCTTTAACTTAATTAATTAGTTATGAAAAAATAACGCGATTAAAATATGTTAGCAGTTAACGGACTGGCCCTGCCCCCAGACCTCTACATCATCTTACATTTCATGAAGTTGACTGTTGACAAATATGATAATATTATGTTTTTGCTCAGTTTTGCCAACAAAAATATTACCTATAAAGCCACAGCAGAATTGTGCGTCTCTGAACAACACAGCGGTGTTTAGTTTCTGAATGAATCCGCGTTTTGAACGAATCGAGTGAATCAATGATTCAAAGCTCCATTCATAAAGAGAGCCATTTACTGAATTCCTGAATAAATCAGCCGCTTGAACGAATCAAATGAAAGACTCATAAAGACATTTACCGCCATCTGCTGGCAGTTTTAGTTTCTTATTTAGAGTATTATTT